CTCTTGAATGTGTTGGGGATGCTGCAGAATCTCAGTTGTCGCCTTGGGCTGCCACAGCAGCTGACCCCRAAGCTCTGTCACGGATCTGCCTCCGCCAGAGGATTTTTATAAGTAGCTATTTAAGCTTGTTGTGGATGTTGGGGTATAACTTAATCTGCTTCCCTCTTCTGTAGTGCCCTTATAACCACTTTAATAGCCACTTTCACAGGACCCACAGTGCATGTTATGTTATTTCTTGCTGAAGACTTAGAACAAAAGTCCAATTGTTATATTTTAAAGGAAGGCAAACATGATTAATTTGGAAAAAAATATAAAGAAAAAGTTTCACCTATCTGGAAACTGCCCTAATGGGGCAGTTTTCCCTGGGGGGAAAAAAAACACTGCAGAACTTGTTTCTTCTGCTTCTTGTGGAAGTCCTGGTACTGTTATATCTTCAGACTCCTGCCCATGCAATAGTCTGTCTGACTCCCACATTCTTCTTGCTTCCGCTTCTTTTTACAGTGAATTTGAGGCGTTTATTACTTGGTCTCATTCTGCCTTGTAGCTTGTTGCTCATGCAAAATAGTGCTTTCTATGTTGGCATGAGGTGGTTCTCTGAATCTCTGAATGTGCTTAGTACGAGCTACGTGAAATAAGATATGAAAACACTGCCTGACCTCTGGTTGCTCTTTACTTCCCAGCTATCAAATGACAAGCCTCAAAACTACTTGTAAATTAAGAATACTTCACAAACTTGTATCTCGAGCAGCAGCTTAACGATCCTGAGGGCCCTCTCATTGAGTTTACAGGTGATGCTGCTGGTGGAAAGGATTGAGGGGCAGAGCTACCATTCAGAGGGACCAAGACAGGCTGGGGGAATGGACCAAGTGGAACTTACCCATCCTCCACAGCTGGATATAAGGAGAAATGCTCCTATGGGGGGAAGTCAAGCAGTAGAATGGGGTCCAGGGAGGTTGTGTGGCCTCTGTTTGTGGACATTTTTAAAATCCAGCTAGGGAGAGCCCTGAGCAACTTGGCTGGACCTCATAGTTTTTCTACAATAAGAAGGAAAGTGGGCTTAAAAACCTTCCAACCCTGAATTACTCTGATTTTTAGGGAAGAATTTAATAGCTGTATTCTAAAAATTCTTGTTTGTCCTTTTAATACTCCCTGCTTTTTTCTTTTTCTCCTACCATACGGGTCAGAGTAGTCACGTTTGGAAGGATATTTGCCTCTCTTTACTGTTGTCTCTTCTCCTTGTGCCTCCCAGGACCCACAGTGTTTCCTTTGCCACTAGCTGTTTTTCTTCTGAATACCAGTAGCTGTGTGAGGCTCAGATACTTGCAAGGTGCTATTTTCCCATTGGACACACTGTTAATTTGGGAATCCTGGATCATACCAGGTCTGTAAGGATGGCCCTTGCCCAGAGATGATTCTCCTCTTCCCTCTCTAGGAGAGCCCTCTTTTCACTACTTGCAGCTAACCCTTCCCAGCTGAAACACATCTGCAGAATTTACTATATTGTGTCTTGTAGACCAGCCACTGCCATGGAAAAGGAGGCAAACTGTGACCTGCCACGTGCTGTTACCCCTGCTGAAAGCCTGACCTGAGACCTCATCAGTTAATTAATGTTTCACATGGGACATGGRGTGAATTGTGGTGGTGGAGCCAGCGGAGGTGCAGGGATGTCTTGGAGCAAAATCTCCTTTCCTTAGGAAAGGAGCATTTTTATATAAAACTTGYTGAAGTCTCCTTGCTTTTAAAGCAGAAAAGACAGATCATTCTGCTTATTTTAAAGGCCATTGAAAGGAAAGTGCAAGCGATGTCCATGATAATTTCTGATAAACTTCTCTTTGCCTTACATTGGACTTCTAGGTTGTGATTAATGGAGTTTGTCCCACTAATCCAGACAGTTTTTAGGAGGAGGCACTTCAGCTGTTCAGTGCCTGTGATTTTAAGCTAATTCAGTTTGCAGCTAACTGCTACCAGTTTCAACCTTTGTAGCTTGAGAAATTCTTTTCAAAGCAGTGATGTTTTATAGCTCTGTTTGTAGAGTTTAACTTAAATCTGTCCAGCTTTGAAAAATAAACCTTCATAAGAGCTACTCTAAAGCTTTCAGTGTGTTATTTTATCAATATTAAAGCAAAACGACAAAAACTCGCACAATTTTTTGAGAATTTGTAGTAGGATTAGATTTTGACAGTGACACGTACATTTAAGCTTTAGGCTGCCTTTGCTCCTGGGCCTTTTGAAATACTGACTTTACTGTTGTAGACTTTTTTTATTTTCATGTTTAAGATATATGTGCAAGAAGATAAGCTCGTCCACAGGCTTTGAAATTCTGACTCGGGAAAATGCTCTGAGGAATTTAAAGAAATACTTTCTTAAGCAGTGAGAAGCAGTAAGGATCATGTCACAAACTTTCTTGAGGTCAGATTTTTGATGCTATCAAATGCATAACCCATAGCATGAAATGAGATCATTTTTTGGATGATATTTTCGGTGATTTATTTTTGTTTCCTAGGAGGTGTTCGGTAACTTCAATCAAAAATTGCATGTTATTCACTTAGCAAAATAAATGCCTGAGTTATGGATTGCCTCAATCTTGTAAAACATGAGAGCATAAAGTATGAAATACACGTGTTACTACATTCTTGCAGGCAAGCAGCACTGCCCGTCCTAAAGAAGTTATTAAAGTGGTCRTGTAATTTGATAATCATGCTTTAAAGCAAAATTATGTGTCTAACTATGCTAGTGTGAAAAGTGGTTTTCATATGCTTGCCATAAACAGGAAGTTGTTCAGTTTAACTCCCTATTTYCTGGTTGATTTCCTATGAGCAGCCTAAAGAGAGAGACTTTGGTTTTCAGGGTTTAATATTTGTAGTGCCTCCTTGTTTTTACTTAATTTTGGAACTTCTTTAGCTGCMTTTTGGGAAATGTCTAGCTGATTGTAGAGCTGTTGGAGAGCCTGAATGATCATATCTTGCCTTTTTATTTCAAAGGCACCAAGGACAATAAAACCTATTTTTAAATTGACACGTCCCATTTTTTAGCATTTAAGAGCTGCTGTCAAGCAGTGGAAAGACTCTCCGATTTGGGGAGTRGTTTTATTTCCTTCTTTTTCCCTAAAGAAAAGGTGATGTATCTCACGTGCCCTCCTTTCCCTGCACTTCCAAGCCCTCCTAAAGCGCCCGTCTCCTTTTCCGGCGCTCCAGAGGCAGTGCTGGAGCTGAAGCTGGCTGACCTCTATAGTATAAATGTCAGGGTTTTTTGCCCTTGCCTTCACCTCTGCCTTTTCAAACCCTTGTTGAGGAGCTCACTTTGAGCAGCCTCCTTTGTGGGAGACTCACGTGCAGGCTGAGCCTTGCTGAGCTACCGTAGCCGTTGGGATTCCTGGTGTTTCACAGCTGGATATCGGCTGCATTCCCGATGGATCTGTTTTGTTGGCAAGCCTGACCTTGACTCCTGCGGATTCCCAGGGGTTGTGAATGGGGTCTTGTCCAAACAAGGTGCAGGTCGAGGGAACCAAACTTCTTGGTGACCAAATAATTACAGAACCTTCAAAACATAAATGTTAGAAAGTGTTGTCCAAATCCATTCTTTTCTTTCAAAACACTCCCCTATGGATATTCGCTGCCTGTTAGGACAAATTGCAAAAGGACAGACATCAATATTACTATTTTTCTTTCTTCTCCCCATATGAGTCCAGGGTAATATGGTTGACATTACTGCAACTGTTTCCCATTATCACAGATAATTAATAAAAGTAGATGCTTAATCTCAATCTGCCTTATTTTGTCCCAGTTTCAATGAGGTTTTGGTGAGGTGGGCGACGCTTTGGGGGATGTAGAATTATTTATTTATTTATTTTTGCTTCAGAAAGATGCCAACTCCTAAAAATATAGTGACTCCTCTAGGGAATTCTCTCTTGSTTAATGCTTATGTGCTGTGCAGTGTGTTAATCATGTTACTTCAAAATTTTAATAGCATCAGGAAAGTTTGGTTTTAATTCCCTGGTTTTACTGGGAATTCTTGACACCCACCTAAATACAAGCAAAAATCTGACTGTTAGGGTAAAGGTGTAGATGAGCTAGAGTACTGCTTTCTGGAAGATGCTGCTATCAGTATGAGTCAGAGAATGCAACTCTCATAGTTCATTTAATATATTTTAAGTGCCTTTAGGGTACATTCTGATAACAAGCTGAATCTCACAATACAAGGTTTTTAAAAGACAAATTGGGAGCAGTGGCAATGAGTCCCATTGTAACTGTAGCTTAGTGTCCACGTTTGGATTGTAAAGAACAATTTTAGACAGCAGTGAAAATGGCTATTAAAATTATATCATGATATACGTGATATTTTTCTCTTACCTGCTGTRGAGGAAACTTTTAAAATCTGTTCGGATCCCATGTGCATACGGAGCAGTGAAAGTGTCAAAAATGGCTGTTTTTTTTCTGACCAGGAAAAATACCCTTTTTTTTTGTTATTTGTTTGTTTGACAATCTATAGTAAATACCGTCTTTGTGTGTACTCACCTTGCTAAAGATTAATGCAGCTCAAAAGGACAAGCYTTCTTTATGGTTTTACAATGTGAGCTTTATTTTACCGTGCTTGTTTGCAGAGCTTCCCGGTGGGTGGGGAGGAAAGAAATAGTGCTTTGAACTTGGCGATTTTGTCTGTTTTCCAACAGCAGAGTTTGCAACCTGCCTCTGAAACTCTGTCCTCAGGTCACTGCTTTCCTCAACAACAGGTTTCCAGTTGCTGAGAAGTCTGTTAACGACTAGGTGAACTCATCAGGATATGGGTGTCTACAAGARCTTTTGAATTGCTAATAAAATAGGATAAATAAATAAGAGCAAGTACCTTTCAAACCACACTTGCAGTGCAGGCCAGTTTGTGTAAACCAGGATTTTGTAGGAGAGGAAGAACTTCTTGCACTGCAGCGCTGGTAAATGTTTAAATTGGGAAGCTGCTGTAGAGATTTCAAGAAGCAGATGATGCCCTTTAATCTTCTTTTGCAGAACCCCAAAACGAAAGAGCAGATTGAAACCTTGCTGCAGGATGGAAAGCACAAGGAGCTGCGGGACCGGCTCTGCTGCCGCTTGTCCTTCGGGACCGCGGGGCTTCGCTCTGCCATGGGAGCAGGTTTCTGCTACATCAACGATCTCACCGTGATCCAGTCAACCCAGGTAGGATCCGCAGCAGCACCACGGGGAACTGAAGTGATTTCACACTCGCCGTTGGGATCGTGTAACGTTCCCCTGAAATACAAGCTTGGGAGGTGAAGCACAGCAGCCTTTGGGCAGTATCGGGTGATGGTATGAGATGTTTTAGGACTAGAAGGAAATCAAGTAGCTCGAGCAGGTTCCACTGGACATTCTGGGAGGCAGATTGCAGTCGCTTCAACTGGAGTTGGGCCAGTAACTAAAGCCTGTTTTACTACTCTGAGATTGGAAATAATTAGCCCTCATAAGAATCTTTAGTATTCAGCAGCGAGCAAAAGACCACTTTCCAACCGAGTAAACCTGTTCTTTCTTTTTTAATAGATGTTGTGATCAGCTGTGCAAAAAAATAGCCCCGGGTGAGCGTATCAGGTGTTTTAGTAGGCAAATGAACAGGGAGTAAGATAAATCTATAGCCTGGCTGTGCACATCATCTGTGTTGTTAACCGGCTGACTTGTGGGCTAGGCTTCCAGTAACAGTCATTGGTAGAACAGTGTTATCTAAAATAGACTGGATAGTTGTAAAAAAAAGTATTGCTGTTAGGCATATCCTGGTTGACACCAAGGTGCCCATGAGGCAGCAGGGCCCTGGTGGCCAAGGAGGCCAATGGGCTCCTGGCTGCATCRGGAGGCCGTTGGCAGCAGGGCAGGGAGGGGATCCTGCCCCTCTGCTCAGCKCTGGGGAGGCCAAAGCTGGAGCCTKGGGGGCAGCTCTGGMCTCCCCAGGATGAGAGGGATGTGGAGCTGCTGGAGAGGGGCCAGCGCAGAGCGACAGGGCTGAGGAAGGGCCTGGAGCAGCTCTCGTGTGAGGAGAGCCCGAGCGAGCGGGGCCTGTTGAGGCTGGAGAAGAG